GGGGAGGGGCTGCGGGGCCGGGGGTACCTGGGATCTCTCCAGCTCAGGGTTGGGGAAGGAGTGAGGGTCTAGGACTCAGTTCCTGGAACCCAATGGGGTGGGTTAGAGAATCTAAGGGTTTGGGAGATCCCTCTAGGAATCTGACTCAGATCGTGGGGCTCCGTGCGGAGGACCCCAATGGGGAGGGGGATCCCAGGATGTTAGGTCTCAGAAGGACCTCGCAAATTCAGAGCCAGTGGGGCAGGGTCCCTCATTCTGGGATCTGGTTCGTGGGGTCTGGGGAATCGGGATCTGGTGATTGGGATCAGCAATCCAAGTATATGGGGGTCTCATAACACAGCAGCAGTCTCAGAAGACCCTTTGGGACTTAGGACACCCAGAGATCCCAGATCTCAAGACCAGGATCATGGGGCTCAGATGACCCAGTCGGGTAAGATCCAGGGATTCAGAATGGTCATGGGATCTAGTGATTGGCACCATGGGTCTTCAAAGACCCTGAGAATGAGGATCCAGGGATCTGGGATCTGGTGGTGGAGACCCACATAAAAGGGCTGGTGGGTGATGTCTAGGACCTGGACTGTCATATACGGGCACCCTGCGCTGTTTGTGGGTAGCCTTGAGCACTGGTTCTTGGGGCTTGTGGAGGGGGGAGGGAGTTTTGGATTCAGCAGGTCTTGGATGGAGCCTGGGAAAGTTCATTCCTGGCAAGTTCCCAAGGGATGCTGATGCTTCGTGTCTGGGGTCCACACCATGAGGCCCACTGGGCTAGAGTATCCAGCAGAAGAAAGGCAGAGATGTACACAGGACTGCTGGTGCAGCCTGGCTTAGGGCATCTAGCAGGAGGGGATCTTAGCCCAGGAGAATGCTGTGAACGCGTGGGGAGACGTCCGGGACATTGGGGTTGGGGAAGTGGAGCAGGCTGGGGTTTGGCAAGTGACGCAGAAGCAGTGACCCAGGCCTAGGATGGCAGGTGGAAAGCCAGTGGTGAAGCTCTTCGGTCTAGGGTCTGCGGATGAAATAACTGGAAGCAGGGTGGGAGGGGAAGCCAAGGGGCCAGAGAGAAGGGGGCTTGGGAAACTAGCTAGGGATATGGGGAAAGGAGGGGCCCAGACTGCGCAGTGGGGGACGGGGCTTTTGACCTGGGATGGGATCCTCACCTCGGAGCTGTCTCCAGGTGACCGTGGGCTCTGGCCGCCCCACGGCCAGGCAAAGCAGGTTCACATTGCCCCCCTCATTCACCGTCACAGGCGACGAGATGTTCACAATGCGGGCAGGGACTGTGGGCAGGGGGAGAGGCTGAATATGGATGCCCAGGAATCCAGGCCCCCAGGCCCTCCTCCCTCAGACCCAAGAGTCCAGACCCCCGGCTCTTCCCCACTCAGACCCAGGAGTCCAAGACCCCAGCCCCTCCTCCCTCAGGCCCAGGAGTCCAGACCCAGAGCTCCTCCTCCCTCAGGCCCAGGAGTTCAGACCCCCAGTTCCTCTTTCCTCAGACCCAAGAGTCCAGTCCCCCAGCCCCTCCTCCCTCAGACCCAGGAGTCTCTGCCCCTTTCTCCGGACCCTCTGTCTGGGCCTGGCATCTTCTTGTCTAATTGCTGGTCTTGTCTCTATTCTCTCTCCACCTTCATCCTAACTTGGTTTTCCATCTTGGGGTCTGAATTCCTCTCCCTTTCTCTATTTGTATTTATTATTATTTTAAATTAATTTATTTAACAAATACCCACATGGGACTTTCTGTGTAACAGATTCTATTCTAAGTGCTTTACCAAAATCCACTGATCAGATGCTCACTCCCAGCCTCTGGGGTGGATGTTACTGTATTTCATCAATTCTTTTATTTATTTATTTATTTTTATTTTTATTTTTTTTTGAGACGGAGTCTCGCTCTGTCGCCCAGGCTGGAGTGCAGTGCCGCAATCTCGGCTCACTGCAAGCTCCGCCTCCTGGGTTCATGCCATTCTCCTGCCTCAGCCTCCTGATTTCATCAATTCTAAGACATATCTGTGCTTTCTGCCCCCCTCTCCCATTTGAACATTACTCCAAGCAAGATGGCCCTCGAGACAGGATGCCAGGGTATCACTGGCAGTAGTTTTTTTTTTTTTTTCTTTTCTAGCAGGGCATAAAATAAAAGTAGCTCTTCCGATTGACGACGTCTGGGATTTATGACAGCACCATCCCCATTTTGCAAAGGAGGAGTCCCAGGTCTCTCCTCCTGCTCAGGGTCCCTGGGCTGGTGGACGGTGGCACTGAGGTTGGAACCCAGGCAGTCTGGCTCCAGAGTTGGAGCTTGCCAGGATCCCCCTGGGTTCTCTCTGTCTCCAGTTCCCGTCTCTCCAGGTGTTCCCTGCCCTCCACCATTTCGGATGGCTCAGGAGGCAGGCTCCTGACTGCTCTCCGCGTCTCTCCCTCTGCCTCCTGCCTTACTGTGGAGCTCTGCAGCCCCATCTTTCCTGCTCTGGATCTGGCACTTCCAGCCTCTTGGGACTTCCCTCGCACACTTGGTTCATTTTCTCGCCTGGCCCTGAACACACTGTTTCTTTTCTAGTCTTAGCCCTGTGCCCAGCCAAAGGCGTCCGCTCAGACGTCATGTCTGGGAAGTCCTCTCTGAGCCTCTCCTTAGAAAATCAGCTCCCAAGGTGTGGGGACAGCCTGCCTTATTCTGTAGCCCCAGTGCCTAGATCAATGCTTGCAGAGTAGGCACTCCAGGAATGGGGCTGAGCAAATGAACATGGTCTTCCCCCAAGCACCCCCTCACCCCTGTAGCTCTCCTGCCCTAGAAGTGATCCTGCTGATGTGTCACTCTCTGTGTGACTGGCCCCCTTCTGCTGGGCTGAAATCCCCAAGGACAAGGCTGTGTCTGTCGTTCTCGCTATGTATCCCTGGGGTTGGGGAACATGTGGTATCTGTCATCATGCCTCGTCTCCCCCACGCTCTCTACCCGTCCACCCAGCCAGGCCCCGGCTGAGGGCTCACCGTGGACAATGAGGTAGACCTGAGTGGTGTACGGCTGGTGGCGGGTCTGGAAGGAGCAGGTGTAGAGGCCCTCGTCGCCAAGCCCCACTTCGGTGATAAGGATGGAGAACTCCTCGGGGGTGTTTATGAGCAGCCGCACCCGCGGGTCGCTGGTCCAGCGGTCGTTGCCAGCGTACAGGATGTTGGAGCGGTTCAGCCAGGCCACGCGGGTCACATGCTCATCGATGAAGCAGCTACAGGGAGCAAGAGAGTGGGAAGGTTTTTCTCCACCCACCCAGCCTGAGCCTTCCCCCACCGAGGGGGTGGGTGGGAGAGGGAGGCCACCGCATCTCCAGGTCCCACCACAGCCCTGTGAGGTGGATGCTGCTGTGCCCACCATACAGCTGGGGATAAGCTGAGCCTCAGGGGGGGAAAGCTGTGAGCCCAAGTGCAGAACAGAGCAATAGCTCATGGTCATTGAATGATCGTGTATGTCAGAGACACAAAAAGGGGAGAACAGAGAATCTGGGAGAGAGGAATAGAGATGCAGAAGGAAGAAGAAAGAGACCAAGAGAGAGAGGGACAGAGACCCAGAGAGAGGGACAGAGACCCAGAGACAGAGGGGGACAGAGATCTAGCGAGAGGGACAGAGACCCAGAGAGAGAGACAGCCCCAGAGACAGAGGGAGACAGAGACCCAGAGAGAGAGGAAGACAGAGAGAGAGACAGAAACCCAGAGAGAGACCTACAGAGACCCAGAGAGAGAGAGAGAGAGAGAGAGAGCTACAGAGACCCAGAGAGAGGGGGACAGAGACCAGAGAGGGGGACAGAGACCCAGAGAGAGAGAGAGAGAGAGAGAGAGAGCTACAGAGACCCAGAGAGAGGGGGACAGAGACCAGAGAGGGGGACAGAGACCCAGAGAGAGGGGACAGAGACACACAGAGAGAGAGAGGCAGAGACCCAGAGAGAAAGAGACAGAGACCCAGAGACAGAGAGGGACAGAGACCCAGAGACAGAGGGGGACAGAGACCCAGAGAGAGAAGGGGAGACAGAGACCCAGAGACAGAGAGGGACAGAGACCCAGAGACAGAGGGGGACAGAGACCCAGAGAGAGAAGGGGACAGAGACCCAGAGAGAGAGGGGGACAGAGACCCAGAGACAGAGAGGGACAGAGACCCAGAGACAGAGAGGGACAGAGACCAGAGAGAGAGAGGGACAGAGACCAGAGAGAGAGAGGGACAGAGACCAGAGAGAGAGAGGGACAGAGACCCAGAGGCAGAGAGACAAAGAGACGTGGAGAGAGGGGGAACAGAGACCAGAGGAGAGGTGACGACCTGGGGAAACAGTAACCCTGGCTGTCGTGTTTTAAGCAGCCGTACTATGTCACGCTCTCTAAGCATGGTGTGTGCATCCTGAATCCTCACAATAACCCAGTGGTAGTTCACCGTCTCCCCACCCCGTTGACAGATGGGGACACCGAAGCCAAGGGGGAGCCAGCTCATAGTTGTGTCGCTCCTGAGGGGGAACGTGGAGCCCAAGTCTTCCCATCCCAGGCTGTTCCTGTAACCAGGATCCCCACCCAGGAAGGTGAAGCTCCGAAGGTGAACGGGCAGGACTGCATGGCTCCCTGAGATCTGAGTCCCCACCCACCGAGGGAGGTACCTGAGGGTGGCGTTGTCACCTTCACACACCGTGTAGTTGTCGGCAGGAGAGTTGAACTCCAGGCTCTGGGAGAGCAGCCCTGTGGAAGGTGGGGGTGGCTCAGCCTTGGCAGCTCAGGCAGAGCCCGGGCATGGTGGCACCTGCACACATGTGCACACGCACGTCCTTGCGGACAAAGACATCTCCTGCACGTGCTGCCACACCCATGCGCTGATGTTTTCAGAGATACACACACAGCAGACACAATCAGAGCAGATACATGCAACATGTATCTTCCCATGAGGCCACGCGGACTCACAGACTCAGATGGGTAGGCGCCCATGGACACAGAAACCTACACACCTCCAGAGATTCAGAGACAATCGCAGCACACAAACACACACACATACAGATACACACAGATGCATGTGTACACACACACATATATATATACAGAAACACGTGTGCAAACACATGCAGACACTTGTACACATAAGACATACACACAGACACATATACACAGACACAGATACCTGTGTACACAGAACACATACATTCACAGATACAGAGTACAGTGACACACGTACCAATATGAGCAGATTAACAATTACATAGATACGGCTGGGCAAGGTGGCTCACACCTGTAATCTAAGCATTTTGGGAGGCTGAGGCGGGAGGATCACCTGAGACCAGGAGTTTGAGACCAGCCTGGCCAACATGGTGAAGCCCCATCTCTACTAAAAATACAAAAAATTAGCCGGGCGTGGTGGCGGGCGCCTGTAATCCCAGCTACTCGAGAGGCTGAGGCAGGAGAATCACTTGAATCTGGGAGGCAGAGGTTGCAGTGAGCCAACATCACGCCACTGTACTCCAGCCTCAGCAACAAGAATGAAACTCGGTCTCAAAAAAAAAACCCAACAATTACGTAGATGCATATACATATGCAGAGATGTGTACACACATCCACACACGGTCTATACCCACAGACATATGTACACAGGCACATCGACACACAGATACTTGAATACACAGAATACATATGCACAGATACATATATACACACATACATACACACAAATACACATGTACAGGGGCACACAAACATTCACAGGTACAGCGTACAGACACACATGTACCTATGCACAGATGAGTGTATAATATATATGCATACACCCAGAAACACACATATATACATTAATACACACAAATATCTACACACAGGCCCACAAGCACACAGATGCACACATACATTAACTCAGAAACGCACCGAAGACATACGCATAAAACCACATGCACGTAGATAACTCAACACATATGCGTACACAGACATGCAGACACACAAATACGAACACGTACACACAGAGATCCACATGTGTACATGCTCAGACACACATCCGTCACAGATGCACAAATACACCCTCACGCACACGAACCTTCGCAGACACACACATCTACACAGGCACACTGTGTGCCCAAGCTCGTCAGGGCATGCTTGCAGGTGTGAGCCCATGCCCGCTCCCACACTTCAGCACAGCAGGCAGGCCCCATCACCCCCACGCAGTCATCTCTCTGTAGACCGTGGCCTGTGGGCTGGACCAGGGCCAGGGAGTGGGGGCTGGGCATGCGGAGGCGGTGGAGCTGGCACCAGGCAGAGAGGGAGGAAGGCCGGCTGGATGACCTTGGACTCCTGGAGCGGGAGGGGCCTGCGCGGGGCTGCCCTGCCCCCAGCCCAGGCGAAGAGCTAATTAATCTAATGAATTAATGGCCCGTGCTGCCCCAAGGACTCCCGGGGGCCCTCTCCATCAGCAGCCCCACAGGATGGGGCCAGGACAGAGCCAGGTGCAGTGGGTTGGCCAGGCTCTGGGGCTTGGGGCTGGGCCCTGCAGCCCGTCACCCTGGGCTCCCTCATGCCAGAGTTACTGCTGGGATTTGAAGAGAATGGTGAGAGGGGGCTCACCCTCCCTGGGCTAAACACAGTGAACACTGCTACAGACAGCCCTGGGAACAACAGGAGACAGCTCGGGGATGGATGATGGACGCACGCGCGCGTACACACACACACACACACACGTACACACAGAGGCTTGGACAAGGCACAGAGACCTCTCCAGGCCTAGAAAGAGTCCCCACACTTGCTATGTCCTTACCCAGACAGGTACACACACAGTCATACAGACACAAAACAGCTTCAGCTACACCCATACACACACACACAAACACATACAGTCACACGCATACAAACACAGGAGACAGTCCCACTCTCTCAGTCACATGCATGGCTGTGGACCCACTCAGAGGGACAGGTGCATACATACAGTGACGCTGACATGCCCAGCTCCGCACAGGCACCCAGCAACAGGTCAGCTGGAAAGGAGGATCTGTCCCAGAAGCACTCATATTGTCACATTCAGTCAAAAGGGTCGGTCCCAGGCCAAGCAACTGCTGCACCCTGAGTCACCCCATCATATACAATAGTTCCCACATGGTTCTATCGACATCAACAGCCCCACGCATGGCTGCAAAGTCCACACACAATTCCATCCCTACATACCACACACACACACACACATGCTTACTAACCTAACTGGGTACACAGACACCACCGGCGCGAGCACCACGATTCCCCTCCCACTTTGCACTTTGGAAGGCCCTGGGTCAGACGCACACAAAGCTACAACCCGTGTAACGAGACGGCGACACTGTCACATCCCCTCAAGCACAAAGGGGCCACACTGGGCCAAGAATCAGGTCATGTTGTCACCTGTGATCAGATCACACACGGCTGGACGCACACACACACACATGCACACGCAGGGAAAATTGCAAAGTCACCAACAAAAACCTGGACCGAACAACAGGTAGTGCCACATTCAGTGTGGCCAAAGAGTCACATGTACGCACCAAGATCCCTTCCCAGGCTGGTGGAGACAGACAGGCCCGTACCCTGCCCTATCCCCCAGACACAAACAGGATTTGCCATGCTGCTGCTGACCCATCTTCTGGGCCAGGGTTCCTCAGCCTCAGCATGGCTAACATTTGGGGCCAGACTGTCCTGTGCAACATAGGAGGTCGGCAGCATCTCGCTTCTGATCTGGATCCATTTGATGCCAATAGCTCCCCCTACCCCACCAAAAAATGCCTCCAGACATTGCCAGATGCCCCATAAGAGACAAAATCACACCTCAACTTCCCGTTGAGAGCCCTTGTCCTACAGGAACCAAGAAGGGGGAAGAGGGAGCTGTCCAAGGTGCCTACCCTAAGGTTCAGGGGCTCCAGGGCTCCTGAACTCAGCCGCTGATTGAAGCAGGTGCTGCCCCCATGAGTTGAGCCCACATACCAGTCCAGGCTTCTTGGGGCTTTATTTTTTATTTCTATTTTTATTTTGAGACAGAGTCTCGCTCTGTTGCCCAGACTGGAGTGCAGTGGTATGATCATGGCTCACTGCAGCCTCAACCTCCCCAGCACAAGCAATCCTCCCACCTCAGCTTCCCGAGCAGCTGGGACTATAGGCGTGCACCACCACACCTGGCTACTTTTTTTTTTTTTTT